AATTTTCCTTTTTATTTAAGTTTCTTGTCCATGAGTTGCAAAATTGGATATTTGAAAAAAAAAAAAAAAAGAAGTAGATATTTACTCGTTTAGGCCATCACCTGTTGAATAAAATAGTCTCTTAGTTAAGACTTGTGTTGTGAAGTTACTAGAGAGAAAAATTGTGCCCTTAAAGTTTAGGTTCCCACAAAAATCAGAGAGCTTCACATGACATACGAGAATTTTGCTTCTTGATAAAGGATAGCTGATAATCAGTGAACAGTATTAAGGATTCATGAGGCCTGCACATTTACCCTTACATTTCACTAAATCCATTTTTTTTCATCCTGAAAATATAAGCATTTAGTTAAAAACGTCAGAATACAAGAAACTTCAGGGAAAAAAAACAGCTATTCTAGCAATAATTCATATGCAGCTTGCAGATGTGAAATGTAATGTATCAAAATGTACATGTAAATGTATCAAAAAGATTTTTAGTCACTTTTATACATATGTTAACAAGTGCATGTATAATCTTGTAAATAGTATAAATAATGAGACTGAAATGAGTCAATAATAATTTTATTTTCATAACATTCCCACAGTGATGTCAAATGCATCTAATCAAGAATCCTGTATTTGAATAGTTCCAGTATCCTAAAAAAGGGCTTCCAGGTTTTTTGTCATCATGATCTTGAAAGTCCCTGGTTATTTTTTATGGATACTACTGGCGTTTCCAGACAGAATTCCAGGAAATGGACTGAATGGAAACCCTGATTTTATCTAGCACCATCAGTGTTGAGTGGACTCTTAAGGATTCTTGGTCTTACTGGAGAATTCTTGAAATCAGTTTCCTTGAGCATTAGGGCAGCCAGATGTTCTTTTCATAATAACAGAAATGGAGAGACTATATATTTAAAGTTGTTTGAGATTTATGGAAAACAACATTTTAAAAAAATAAAATTCTTTGTGCTTATTTAGGATAAAACAGTTTCACTTTTGGAAGAGGAAGGCCCTGCCTTCTGTGGGGTTTCAGGTTTCAGAGTACTTGTTTACAAGGAAGAAGTAGGAAGAGGGATAGAGAGAGGCTTGGCACATCCATTCACCTTCCCTTTTCCTCTTTTTGTATCTTACCTCTCTGCAGCACCTGTCTGCCACAACATTTTACCTACAGACAGCAAGATAATGTCACAGTTATTTTAATATATAGATATCTACAAAAATTTACCAATTCAATGTGTAGATTTTCCATTGGGTTTATATTTGCAAAACTTTTTTTTTTTTTTATAACAGGTTTCCAATGGTAACTGAAAAAAGACACAACATATGTTGGCAAGACTGTCATACATAAAAGTTAAATACTTGGAAGTATTGAAGTATTTCTTGACTCCCAGGTGCAAAGATGCCAGTAAAGGGGAAATGAGTACCTGGTTTACATGTGCAATGTCTAATTGACAGCATATTTTTTAATCCCCTGTTTTGAATACAAATTCCAAATTAATAGAGGTTCATGTCAGTTGTTTTACTAAGCAGCATGGGTTGGATCTACTGCTTAGACATAAACAAATACATTATTCACATTTTCACAGGGGAATCTTCTGTTTCCTTCTATTTTAAGAAATACCTTCTGCTAACCAAGAAAGCAAAATTAACATAGATAAATCATATCCCATGTGAGTATGAGAAACATGCAAGGGATAAATCTAAAATATTTCTTAAAATCCAAAGTGAAACTTTTTAGTTCATTTTAAAAATTATTTTTCTCTAATACAATCTAGGTCAGCTCGTAAACAGAAAATACCAAATGAAAAATAAATGTTTCTGCATTTCTGATGAGAAATATTTTAATACCTTCAAAGGAACATATTTAAGATACTTGAAAAGTTTCCTTTTTTAGCAATAATACTTTAATGAATTCAACTCAAATTCATATAGCTTTGATGCTCTGAAATTTATATTTTTTCACAAATTAACCATTGATAATTAAAAATAAAAAAGCCCTTCTCCACTCTGGATAGATCATCTGCATCACATATAGCAAATTGACAGAGTATATTATTTAAAAACCTCTTTTTAAAAGCCTCATTGTCTTTCCTCCACTGTTGTTGTTTCTGTTGAATAACAGCAGTAGTTACCTTCTCCATCATAGCTGGTTGTTGTCTGGGAAATAAAATTTAAATTATATGAATAGGATTCACTCATAGATGTAAATGCCACTGTGACAGGCCATCAATAAATTTGAAAGGAAAGTGAATTATTGATATGCTGTTGTAATAATGCACTTTTCCTTGGAGGGATCAGTATTACAATGTGGAGTGTTACAATAAGCTTATAGTAGAGATTAAAGCTTTCAAAATATGACAAAGAAAAAATATTATAAAGCATCTGCATTTCAAACGTAATTTATCTCGAAACATTGAGGAAATAATCTCTGTGTATAGACTTTTGCATTTCCAGTAGCATACTACAGATCACACAGCTAAGTCACTTTTCAGATGTAGATCATCTGAAGAATAACAAGAAAAGGAAATTAGTAACTGTAAAACAGAGGCAGGTATCTGGTTTTACTAATGGATGATGGTGCTTTAAAAACTGCTCTGCTGATCATCAGCCGTTTATTGACATTTCTACAACATTATTTGACTTCAGGAGACTGATTAAAAAAATCTATTGTCTGAAAAAGAAATTTATTTTCCACAGTGTGTATAAGGCTCACATTGACAACTTCTTCTCAAATTCAGAGATTAATTGCCCAAATGTCTGAATTTCAGACGAACTGGAAGTCATTTATGTTAATGTAGTTAATGAGAAATAGTGATGAAATAAAACAAAACAGCTCTGAGCTATACACAGTCACCTGTTTTGGGAAAAAAAAAAGTTTATTTTGTTTATTTATAACAAAATCATAGTTTCTTGAAAGATTTTTATTGTCTACCTGCTGAAGAATTTCAGCCAGGTCTGGGAGTGGTTTTGATGTTATGAAACCAGAAATATTTGTGACTTAGCTAGTAGCCACCAATTCAATGTAATAAGTGTAGTTAGGAGCACTTTGGTCTTCATGATTATGAGATGGCAGCTGAAACCACTGAGAAATGTTAATATTCCGGGAAAGTAGGTTATAAATTGCAAAAATATTTAGCTGAAAAATATGGCATGGAAGTGTCCAATCATTTAACATTTGTACAAGTCTGTTTCCTTTTAAATTCAAGGTAAAAACTCATTAAGGCAAAAGAGTAGTTTTGAAAACCTGATTTCTAGACCTTATAGTTTATATGGTGTCTAAAAGTTTTTGGAAGCTCTTTTTCTGCTGTATTAGCCATCAAAAGTTCACAAACCACCACCTGGAAAACACTGATGTACATGATTAAATAATTCATGATATTTAGATTCTTCCCTGGTACAAAGAATGCAGAACCTTCTGTTAACTTTACCCTCCATTGTCAAAAAAAAAAAAAGAAAAAAAAAAGAAGAAATAAAATGGCTTACAACTAACAGAAATATAGATTTCTCTATGGCTCCTATGTAACCCGTGTATGCTTTTTTTATATAGGTAGCTACAAATAGTGTTTTCCCCTATGTGGACACCTGTTTTTAATAGTTTCATTTCGTGTTGCCAAATAATTCCTTTTGCTTTTTCTTTTTTTTTTCTTTTTTTTTTTTTCCCTGTTGAGTGTCAGTGACATGTAACAAACAAATGTTTCACAGGCACCATCTCATTGACTTACTTTGCATGCAAATGTGACATTTTAGTTTCAAAATGATAATCTATTCGGTACACTTAAAAAATTCAATAGTTGAAATACACTGAAATTCTCTTGTTCCGTTGTTTGATAGATCTTTCATTTGGCTTTTCTGTAGCAAATTCTTTGTCAAACTATTCTTTCCCTTATACGTCTAGTACCTCATTATATTTTTGGATGGATGTGATCCAACACTCAAACTACAATTTGTTGCAGAGAGAAATACAATGTTTTCTTCAAGGTAGACATTTCTATCTTTAATATATTTCATCTTACCAAAAGACTTTGTTCAGGTAAAGTGTAACTGTGTTCTGTCATTATATTATTGGGATATAAAAAGATTAAAAGATTTGTCTCAGTCTTAACGGGGTTATACAGTAAGTCTACAGCTGAACATAGCCAGAATCCAAATTTTTATTTCCTAGTTCAATACAGTTTTCATCCGATCATCTTTCTGATTCAGCCTGTGAGCATGAGAGCTACGAAATCCTTGCATTAGTACTTCCCTTTCCAGAGAAACCTGGACAATACTGAGAGATAACATAGCTAAGAAAGTATTGTAGTTCTGTGTTAAGGTTCATGGAGGATCTTGAGTATAGAGAAGTGGAAAGACTGACAGGAGTAGAACAATAGTGGCATGGAGGAACAGTACCAAGACCCAGGAATATGTGTCTTAATCCTGTTATAACAGGGTTAAAGAGCATGATGAGTAGTTTGCAGAACAGAATAATAGCATGCAAAAGACCGCAATGATGGAAAGATAGAGATTTTCTTTTCTTCTCCTCATACTCACTGCTGCTACACTGACCTTCAATATGAATGAGCCTATGAAGGCTAGGTCATTCTAGTCAGTTTTGCATCATTATTTAAAATTTTTTGTTTATTTTATTTATTTTTATTTAGATTAAAATTTGTCATCAGTCACTAAGCAGACTATAGTTATTAACCTGTCATTACAGAAGCACTCAGGGAGACATGGAATCTTACGTACCTGTATTTCAGTAGTAGTACAGTCAAGTAAATTAGGTACTAATGCCAGAAAGCATCACTAAGCAGACAAGCTTATATCAGTATTTGCTTAAAAGCTGTCTTAAATAAAAATAGATTTAAACACATGATTATTTTTTTTCTTTTTGTGGGGAATCACACGTATAACATTTTTGCTTCTTTATATGTTTCAAAATACATTTGTATCTATACGCATTGTAGGGTTAGGGGCTGGGTGAGTTTTGGTGGTTTGATTCAGTGGATTTTTTCTCAGTGGTTGTTTTTGTCTTTCAGACTTGAATCTCCTACTAGATCTTTGGTGATGGAAGCACCCAGGGGGGTACAAGTCAATGCAGCTGCAGGAGAATTAAAGGCTACCTGTAGGAAAGAACTGCACTTACAGTCCACAGAAGGGGAGGTAAGTTCACCTGGTAAAGGAATGTTCTACAATGCCCAGCGTAATGCAAACAATGTGAGGATAGTTTATTCAGTAGCAAGGTAAACATCACAAGAAGTGTTCTGCATTTGCCTGTGTTAAAGAAATTTTGGTTTAGATTGCTCAAATTTTAATACTTATTTGCTTTTGGCAAATATTTGGATGACTAAGTCTCATTCACACTGAAAAAAATGTTAGTTAAATTAATATAGATAAGAATTATTCTTAATCTAAGAATCAAAGAAAAAGCTACCCTGTCCTTCAGCATATCTGTGGACAGAGACAACTAAGTGATAGTTGTAAAAAATTACTTTGGATTAATCTGACAAACTAAAAGAGAGAAGTTTGGATTAATTTGGATTAATGCTTCATTAAACCATGATGGAGAGATTTAACAAATTCGCTTTACATGGGGTTTATTTCCTTGAACTGTCTCTGTAAGAGAGACAGAGTACTTCAGTGGTATGTTCACTGTACTGTTCCATTAGTGTCTTGTTTCAGTGAACAGCTTGACATAAAAAGATTTTGGTATAGATTCTTCATGTGTGAACCTGTGTGAACTCATGAAAACAATTTTAAATTGGGTCACTGGTTTAGTTGGCAATCCATGTATTGCAGAAACCCATGAAAGATTACTGGTATGAGAGTCCTTTCATCTTCAATCCTTAAAATGATATAACATAGGAAAAAAAAATAAAACCAAAAAAACCCCAAAACTTGTGCAAGGATATCAATTGGTCTTGGATTCCTTGCAGGCATTTTTGAGACATGGATAGAATTTCAAATTGTTCTCAGTGGGACTTGCCCGGTTACAGCATTTTTTGAAAACCTGTTGTTTAATGTAAATATCTAATTGGGAATGGAGGTAATAAAATTATTTTTTTTGCATTTTGTGCTTGTATTTTGTATTCTCTACCAAATGTTCCCAGATACTTTACAAACTATCCAAATAAGCAACAACAAAAAAAACCAACACTCACATCTGTGACAGATAATCCCCTGCCATGCACACTTTTTGCATTACAATGCAGACAGGAACACTTTTGGCCAATATACTGTATCAAAGGACTAATTTGATAACATTTTTCTATTGATCTAAGTATCTGTCCTGGATAATTAAAGCACAATATTTTCGTAATTCAGAGACTCAAATATTTATATACCACATGCCTTTTCTTATTTCTGAGTTTCTCCAAAAGCCAGTTCTTCCCACAATCTCTCATCTTTACTTACCGCCTTTCTAAAGATGAAGTCTTTGTTACTGACATTGCTGAGATAGCAGTAAGGACAAAATAATCCTCTTTTAATAGTAAATATCATCCTCCCTCACCCCTGTCCTTTCTGTGGGTATTTTTGTTGCAGGGGCTACAGCTTCCTGTAACTTTTCCTGCTTCCCCCCCATAAATCCCTACCTGGCCTAATCTACATTTATTAACATAATTTTTTCACCTACAATGTATTTCTTTCTTCATTCTTTCCCTTCATGGTATTGCTAGAGGGAAAAAGCAATACTCAAATTAAAGTGAAAATGGAAAAAAAAAAAAATCCCAGAAAGACTTATCTTTCCTCAATCCCTGAAGTTGTATCAGTTGTATCTGTAATGTCTTGGTTTAGTATTGTGCATCTCTGTGGTACTTTGTACAAATATTTAATCTGTGGATTAATCAGGCATTTTTGCCTATATCAACACTGTGAGTTTATTGCATGACTTCTAATTTTTCATAAGTATTTACTACGACTTAATGAAAAAGTAGTTTTGAGAATAATGTATTATGACCTTGTTGGGGATGAAATGTCTCACATGTTTACAATTTAGCAGCAATTTAAGATTTATTAATTGTGTGAGGTAAATCTAAGATTAAATTTTAGTAGTGTTCAATCGTTAACCAATTTAATGATTAATAAGGTGATTCTGTCTACTATGTTGTTATTAAAATAGCGATTTAATTACAGATGCAAGAATGACAAGATTCACACTAACTTACTACAAGGTATCCTAGGTATATATGTATAAACACAAAACACACAAACAAACACCACAGAAATACTTAGATCCAGTGAAATATGTAAGTAGGGAAACTAGCCTATAGTTAAAGTTCCCTCTTCCTTCTCAAGTTTAGAGTAAATACTCACAATACCTCAGCATTCCTTAATTGGTGATAATTGAGCCTCTAGAAGACTAACTTCACCCTGGCCTTTCTTCACCTGAGAGGCATCCCAGCTCAAGGGAGATGCTGGACACAGCCCGCTGAGACACGGGGGAGCTTAAAGGGTCTCACTTAGAGTCTTTATTTATTGGGTCTGAGATAATTGACTTTTGACAGGTACTTTTCTATTTCAGCCCACTTTGAATGATGTAATATTCTGGTGTGTTACACTAGTTAAAGTGTATCATCCCCCTTCCAGCTCCAACACAGGTACAGATGTACTGGGTTGTCAGGAGGTGATTAACTGTTACAATTGTTTAAAGCAAGAGACAGCTACATTGAGGGTGTGCCTCCATGCTTGGGTTCACCGCCATGGAAAACAGAAGCCAGGAGGTGCCACTGTAGACCTCAGTTGGGCTTTCAGAATGGGAACCCAAGAAAAGTTGCAATGACTATAGCATGTATTATTTGGAATGGGAATTCAATTCAGTATTAAATGCTTTGTAGGAAAAAAAATGACAGTGTAAAACAGACTTTACTGAACTTCATATTAAAAATCATTATATTCCTCTACGTGGTAAGACTTTGCACATCTGTGATTTCTCACATAGATGTTTGATAGGTATGAGAAAAGCTACCAACCTTTCCC